TTTGTTATTATTTACCTCACATTAAATGTTAGAACTGAAGTTTTTTTTCAGATATTGCATGCTATTTTAAACTTCTTTCCCATGCCAGAAAAAAACACACGGAAAAGAATGTTAGACACTGCTTTTTATCCAACATTTACCGTGAGAGGAAACTAACTGTCGGTTAATTTAATCAAAATCTTTCCACCGTGGTTGGAAAACTTTGTATTGGCCCATGGTGTAATCTGTTGGTCAGTTGATACACTTGCACGCTAATAATTTTATCCACTGTGTATTCGTTGTAACGATTTCATTCAGATGTTAATGTTAAATTGTAGAAAGCACAGTTAACAGATGCACGAATACCACAGTTTCCTACTGAGTCAGTTTCGTTTACCTTTGCCATTACTTTCCTGAACAAAATATTCATTCAAAAAGTTATTATTCAGCCGAAAATGTGCAGTGCATGTTGACTTTGCGTTTGAAGAGCTTTGTTGCTGATTCTTAGCTTTCTTTTTTTTTCAGATGTAGAGGAGAATCCATGGTGGATGATAAATCTGACTGCTGTTCACTGCATTAGAAGAGTTGCAATCAGAAATATCGATGACCTTCACGGTAAGCTCCGAGGCAGTATTTTATAAGTCAAGAAACTTGGTTTACACATGTAGATGAACACAGTTTTATTTTTTGTTTTATTTCCTTTGTTGATAGTTTAAAGCACAAACAATCCTGAAACGATATGCAAATCTACGTTCGGAACGAGAGAGCTCGTCCACGAATGAAAAAGATAGGACCATCAATTCTGGAGGAAATTCCAATTTGGCCCGCCGGACAATCAGCCGGGATAAGCCAATAATTCAGGAAGCTTTTCACCGATACCACATACTTGTTTGTTTTGCCAATTAATGAAATGTTACATAGATATTTTAGATGAATCATTTGTTTTTATGAAAACAATACAAGGGAGCAAATCCCAGGGGTGGGGGTTTATATCCCCATAAATTATACTTTTTGAGGCTAGGGGGTCGGCTATTCAATCCCCACCCCACCCCCCCAACTTGGTGAGCACAAATGAAAATGGATTGTAAACATTTCTTCAGACGTCCACCGATTAAAATGGATCCAACATCACTAAAACATTGAGAAACAGTTTCGAGAAAGTTATAAAAATATCATTTTGATTACATATTACAAATGTACATCAACATCATGAATATTGAACTCAATGCTGAGTCCCCCTCCCCCTACTTTTCAAGTTTTCATCTGACCCCGACCTTTTCCCTTCCCCCGATTTCCGACACAAATTTACGCCACTGAAACAATAAATTGCAATTTAAATCGTGTGGTCTGCTTAAATTTCAGAAAGCACTAGACTGAATTTAATGGGTGCTGAGGTAAGCACTAGCTTAAGTAACACGCCCAGAGTTGATGAGAAGTGTGGTTCTAACGTGACTCAGTATCAAGCCTTGATCAATGATTGGATTGACTTCACCTGCGATCTGCCCAGACTCGCACAGTATGTGAGAATTGAAATTCCAGGACAGACAGCTCTTATACTCTGCGGAGTCAGAATATGGCCTTGTGATCTGCACCCAGCAGGTAAACGTTGACTTATTGATCCTGTTATTGTTTTACATATTAATGTTTGTTAAATTCCCTAAGGCTAACAATAAAAAGAAACCTGCACCTAGATCACTTGTGGATCTACTTGCTGGCATGTAGGTATGTGACGCGACAGTTTGAACCATAATCATCGATTTAAAATGAAACAACAGCAAAGAAATACACGCAAAATAACCCGTCACTGGCTCTCCTGAATAAGGCACTTGCTATCTATAAAAAGATTTTGATAGAATTAACATTTTTATGCAGTTTATGTAAAGCCATTTCTGTAAAATAAACCGATCAAACCAAACAATAGTGTCGACATATTGCCCTACGATAACCATGCAGTTCCACAGGTGCTCAGCAAGCTCTGTTAATGTGTAACAGGAAGACTTGGTCATTGCGTAACTGTAACACAAATCGTCTTCGTGCAGCCCTTAATTTGACTGAAAAGCGAAGTTACCAAAGCTCGACATCAGGAAATTCCATTGCTAGCCTAGCCTTGGACTATCTTCCTTCTGAGCCGTATTGCAGCGAGACGGGTAAGTCAGATCCGCCAGAGCGTCCTCTTTGAAGCATTTCAAATTAACTTTCCAAAGGAAAAACCAAAGTTTCCTGACATCTGTTTTCTCTTTATATTTTCATGGTAAAATGAAAGTAAAATGAAAGTAAAATACGGCATGCGTGTATTGTAGAAGCTAGCTTTTTACAGTAAAATAGTAGATAACTGACAGTAAGAAATTATCACCCTTTACTCAGAATATATTGTGTTTTTATCAAACATTTAATATTTTCATATTTCTACAATTATCAGTTAATGAAATGAACCCATGGTGGAAGTTGGATCTCGAAACGAGTCAATGCGTCGGGACAATTCGAATTTGGCCTACTGCACATGGTAAGACTATGTTGTCTAGTCCATTTGGATATTTTAACAAAATGCAAAAGTTGTGTCAAGATTATTCAGCAATGTACAAACATTTAAAGTTCTTCTTAAACAAGTTTATGTTGATTGATCAATTCTGCGAACTACTTTGCTGCATTCATTGTGATTTCATTAACATTTCTTGCATCTACCATTAACATAAAAGAAAAAGGGAGATATCAGCTTTCAACCTCCTGCTCCGTTTGAGACTGGCCAAATGTTATCCTCATTCATGAACTTTTGACAGCCAGAAAGTGAAAGCACGTTTTAAAACCTCCGCTGCACAGGACCTACTTTTTAGGGTTAATGCTCCGACAGGATACAATTGAGATCCCATCGTTATAGCCCTCTTCCCAAATCCACATTCCCTTCTACTGGCATTTAAATTGATCAGAGGGTGTCCCCAAGTGCCTACAAATAAAAAACCGCACAAAAAAGGTCAGAGTACGGTCACGGTACCCTTTTTCCAGTCAAAGGGGGCCCACCACAATCAACAAAAAATTGACACCCCCAACGCAGTGAAACTACTCAGACAGCTGTTTAGACAGCTCAAAGACACATCAGACAGGCCCAGGATTGCCCAGGCACTTGGTTTGTCAATAACCACTATCAGCACGTGGCTTAGATATTTTGGAACAATCCCCATGGGACTTGGCTGGAGGCAGGCTCTGGAAAAGAATTACTTTGCTCGGGGGAAGTCCCCATGTTAAAGGTAACTAAACTAGGCTGTTCAGCAACTGAGAGACAAATTAAGAGGAGGTTTTTGCATTTGGCCGATTTTTTTTTTTAAATGTGTAATTAGAAAAAATTGTCCGCTCTACGTCAGGTTAAAAGTCGGAAATGTCTATCAACATTGCTCCACATTCTTACTTTTATTTTGTTTTTCAGGCTCTTACTATGTTTAAGTATGTGCCACTTGCAAACTTGTGCTTTGTCAACCGTTTCAGACCAGAAAGGTGACAGCCTCTCCACAAATGAGAATGGCTAAATTGTCTTGGTTTTATAAAGAAAAAAAATAAGGCGCAAAGTTGAATCAATTCTTTCACTGATAAACATCAAGATGCGGTATGTCGTAGACGACAATGTCACCAAGATGTCATAAAATTGGCCCACTGTAAATCTGTTCTTAAGCTGGAAAGGTCATTCCTAATCTAGATTACAAAATAACCTTGATTATCCAGGGGCCACTTTGCAGCGTGCATCTCTACGTGCAGGTCTGAGTGATAATCACACGAGTAATGTGGAGTGTAAAACCAGTCAACCCCAACCTTCACCCAATGACTTTACGGAGTTTACCTGTCATCCGCCTGTACTTGCCCGGTATGTCAGCGTCGATATACCCGGAATGGCAAGCCTTGGACTGTGCGAGGTGACAGTAGCTGCGTGTGATTTCAACCAAAAAGGTAAACTTGGCAC